TAAAGTCATGCAAAACATATTTCCATATGTCATGTTGTGAAAGGAAACAGACAAAAACAAAAACAAAAAAATAAAATTAAAAAAAGTATGCTTCAGTCTGTATTTATAGTTTATCAGTTCTCTCTTTCTGAAGGTGTATAGCATTTTTACATTACGCATCCTTTCAGAACTGCCTTTTCATGATCTTAATCAGACTAAGTCTTTCATAGGTGATCATTCTTAGAACATTGACGTTGCTGTGTACAATGTTCTCCTGGTTCTGAACCCAGGATGTGAGGATCAGCTTGCTATTGGAACTTGCTTTATATTACTAGACAGATGATCATCTGAAAGGATGACCTACTGGAAAAATCACTGGATTAATTTTTTTTAAATTATTCATTTATTTTTAGTTTTTTGCACTCACTTCTGTAAGATTTTGAATTCCAAATTTTCTCCCCATCTGTCTCCTCCCCTCCACCACAATGGCATGTAAATTGATATAGGTTCAACATATACATTTATATTAAACCTATTTTCACAGTAGCCACATTGTAAAGAAGAATTAGAACTAATGGGAGAAACCACAAGGAAGAAGAAACAGAGAGAGAGAGAGAGAGAGAGAGAGAGAGAGAGAGAGAGAGAGAGAGAGAGAGAGAGAGAGAGAACAAATAATATGCTTCGATCTGCATTCGGACTCCATAGTTCTTTTTCTGGATGTGGACAGCATTTCCCATCATGAGTCTTTTGGAATTGTCTTACATTCTTGCATTGCTAAGAAGAGATAAGTCTATCAAAGTTAGTCATCATGCAATGTGATTGTTACTGTGTTCAATGTTCTCCTGGTTCTGCTCACTTCACTCAGCATCAGTTCATACAAGTCTTTCCAGGTTTTTCTGAAGTTTGCCTGCTCCATCATTTCTTGTAGCACAACAGTATTCCATTACATTCATATACTACAACTTATTCAGCCATTCCTAAATTGATGGGCATCCCCTCAATTTCCAATTCTTTGCCACCACAAAAAGAACTGCTATAAATATTTTTGTAGATGCGGGTCCTTTCCCCATTTTCATGATTTTTTTTGGGGGGGGCTACAGCCCTAGAAGTGCTATTGCTGGGTCAAAGGGTATGCACTGTATTGTTTTATGTTATTACTCCCCTCAAAGTGATCTTTATAAGTATCTTCATATCTTTTAGAGAGGCGCTTATTCACATCATTTGACCATGTGTTTATTGGGGAAATGTTTGCATTCTTATATATTTCAATTGGTTATGTCTCTCTTCATTTTATGTGAGAAACTGTTTCTTCACAAATTGATTTCATAATTTTTCCTTATACTAAAGTTATTTATCTGCCTTTTTAGTAGCCGAACTGTTGACATATGGAAGGGGGAGTACTTTACAGTTAAATAGTAGAAATCACTATGTCAAAGTTGGAAGGATGTACCTATAAAGGGAAAATCGTTTTTCTTTGAGCACTGGATTTGGATTCAGAGAATATACGTTTAAATCCTGGCTCTGCCACTTAAAACCAGTGGGACTTTAAAAAAGTACCTTTATTTTAGGAGGCCTTAGTTTCTTCACCTATAAAATGATAGTATTGTACTAAATAATTTCTAAGGTATTTTAGCTCTAAATGCAATGGTCCTATGAGCTCAAGATCTTACAATTTGCATTTATGTTTCAATTCAATCACAAAATCAGAGAATTTTAGAGTTGAAGGATGCTTTGAGGATATTCAGTGCAACCTCCTTATTTTACAGTAAGGAAACTGGGATCCAGAGATGGGAAGTGATTTGATTATGGTAATACATATAATAAGTGGGACTGCTGAGACTGGAGCCTGAAGTTCTGAATTCTTGCCACTATGTCTAAAGAAATGAACCCCTTTGCCCCCTTATTTTTTTTCCTTGGAAAGGTATTCACTTCTTCCAAAATGGCCAGATGGGACTTGAACTGAAGGGATGTAGAAATATTTCCCTTTTTCACTTTCCTAAGGATGACCATGTGGTCATTTTACCTACACATAGCCCTTTTAACCACCATCTAACTGAACACCTCTATTCCTAACCTGCTTCTGGAGACTGTTTTCATTGCATGTTTCCTTCCCATTCCAAGCTCACAACATCCTGGAAGTCTATGTTTACCTTTGGCTTAGTTTATATAGAACTCCTAAGAGCAATTAGGCCCCTAATTGGCACAGAGATTTCCTTTTATTTTTCAAAGAATATATCTTCTTACACACTCTAGGATGGATCAACTATATTGAGGCTCTTTTTATAAACAAGGTAGATTAACTGTTCTTGAATTACAAATACAAAATCAGAAATCACAAGCACTAAGAAAACATACACACACACACACACACACATATCACAAAGTACATATAATCTTTTAAACTTTCCCACTGTAGTTAGTACCTCTAGCCCCTGATTTTCATTATTTTCCCAAATTATAAAGGGCATACATTATTTGTAGGTTCAAAGCTCTTTCTAAACCTTAGCTGAGCTGATTGAGTTGCTTGCGAAAGCATGTGATGCCAGTGGCCACCAGACTTTCCTGTAGTTATGCAGGAAAGATTTCTTGGGACACCTGTTTTTGGCCTTTGCTTGGTTCCTGGCCACTGATGGGATCTGAGGAATTCACTTTAGGAAAAAGTGGCTAGGGCATTTTAATGACCTATTCTCCAACTCCATAACTGGCTTTCAGAGGAAGAAATGGAAGCGATAGAAGTCAGAATTCTCTTTCTTTTCACCCGATTCCTCTTCCCTTTAATCATTTCAGAATCACATTGGCTTTTCAGATTGTGTAGAAGAAATGAGATGTGAGGGTCAGCTTGCTGTCATAGTAGTTTTACAATGATCACGTTGGTGAACAGGTCTCTTTGGGACCTGGGTGACATTTAATGCATCTAAAAAGGGCTAAGGAAAGTAGTATATCCACCCAGATGAGAAGAGTCACAATAGCTACACAAAGGAACATGGCAGAGATAGGAGTAATGACCAGGCAGCTTTATATTGGAACTTGGCTCACATGAGGAGACAGATGATCATCTGAAAGGATGATCTATTGGAAAGATCATTGGATTAAGTTTTATGTTATCACTCCCCTCAAAGGACCTTTATAAATATCTCCATTTCTCTTTTAATTTTTTTTCATTTTTTCATTTCAAGAAAATAATGTTTTTTTCCTCCTTCATACATTCTCTCCTCTCTGACAGGTGTTAAGAATTACTCAATGTTTGTAAAGAGCTTTGAGTTATTCTGAGAAAGATATTATACACACATATCAGTATAGGTGTGGGTACATACATATATAATTTTGATCTGAATGCTCTATATTTGTATAATGATTATAGTTTTCAAAAAAATTTCATGCATATAAAACTAACATAAAATGATAGGCATTATTATGAATGTAATGTAAAGGAGGAAACTGTCCTAGAGCAGGGGTTAAGTGACTTGTCCAAGGTCACACAGTAATTAACAAGGTTGGGATCATAACACAGGTTTTTTGAGTTGCTGACTATACTTTCCTGTCTTCCACTTGAGGGAGGCTTCATGAAGAAGATGGAACTTGACTTATGCCCTGAAAGACTAATGGGATTTGAATGGGGCTAGAAAAGTAGTCTAAGCATTCCATGAGGAGAGTACAGTAAAGACTTGTAAGCAAAAATAAGCTTAGGGTATGGAAGAGACATTTGAAAGACAAAGTAATATAATCTTAGAAACTTATTATATATATGCATATATGTGTGTATGCATATATAACATTACATATATATATATACAATGTTACACATATTTATATATAACATCACATGTTACATATATATACACATATGAAAACGTAGACACATAACACTTTTACATTTAAATTGAACTATTTAAAATGGAAACAATGAAAAAAAGGAGAGTGAGAGTTGACGATAATATGGTAGGAACCCCTGACAGCCTCACTATGGATCACTCTGGCCCGAGGGACTTCATTAATTTTTCCTTGGCTTTAATGTTCAAAAGTCCACACATAAGAATTTGAAAGCAGTTTTATCCCTATTTCATGCTCTAGTGGAGGGAAAGGTTTGATGTTACAGTGGTGGACAGGTATAAACTGACATAGGTCTTCTTCTTGGCCTTGCTCCAGTAAACCTGGCACCTTCATAAATGTTAGGTCCTGGTTCCCATGACTTCTGACAAGGTAAAGATGTAATTAACCAATGAGAGACAAGGTGTTGTTGAAGACTGAGCACCTGATTACTAATTAATCAGGCGTGAGAGCACCTTGTAGATGCATTCCCTATTTAATTATAGCAGCCTCACTTGGCAAAGAAGCATATGCTCCCAGCTTAATCTACTGGTTTATACTGACATCAAATTGCCATTATCAGAAAGAATCAGGCCTTTTGATTATTTCCACTAATTTATTGAACACTTAAAATTAATGAACCCCAGGCCTTTTAAATGTGCTCAGTTGGTCTGGAAGATGAGGAGAAAGGGGGGTAGAGGAGGAAGTAAGAGTCTTCATTAGAAAGGATGATTTGGTTAAAGGTAAAGGGAATACATTTTATGGGTGATCTGGACTCCCATTGGTGGAGGGTACATTAGACACAAAAATAAAGCCTTCTGATTGGTAGAAAAATAATGGGATGGGTAGCATGCCCTGCTGGCCACCATTGGCTTTTCAAAGAACATATGGCTAAAGATTTCTTATTGTTTGGGGGCTATTTGTCTAGAAGACCCTGTGGCAATTTAGTTTGTTCAGCTAAAATAAAGAGAAAATGTTGAGAACCAATCATTAGATTAACCACTAGGCACTAAAATTGGGAATGGAATGAGAAGGTTTTGTTGTTGTTGCTCTCCTTGTCTGCTTGTTTTTCCTTGTTTGTTCACAAGATAGAGGAAGAGAGGTTAGAGAGGGAGAGTATGGCAAATTGATCATGTATTTGCTATTCTCTGATATTCTATTTGTGTTCCTGAGGTTATTGGCTTCATTGACACATTCTTATTCTTTGAATTCAGTTTCAGGTGAAGGCCAAGTTCAACTTACACTCCTGGTGAAGGAAGGAGCTATTCCAACAACCTCAGGTAAGTTCTGCTCTATTACAAGAAGGGAGATTCTCCTTCAATAATTCATATACATTCTCAGGTACCCATACCTTGACCTCAGCCTTCATATACCAATTCTATCATTTCCATATCTAACATCAATTTCATTGTATATAGCCTTAATAATGCATATGGCTAGATATCAAATACAACTATGAGAAAAGAAAATAATTTTTGAAGCGATATGGAAGTATGAATGGAAAACCACAAATAAATACTTTTCATATATATATATATATATATATATAATATATATATATATATATATGTATCACAGATATGTGGACATTGACTCATTTGTAAATTGGAATATGTATCTTCAAATGGACTTCTAACCCCTAACCAATTAGAAAGAAAACCTTAGAGTCATTCAAAATCAGTGAAGTATTGGTTCTGATTTCAACTAAATAGGTTAAACAAATATAACTTCAACTGAAAGTTATACCTTAGAATTTACTAAAGTGAAATTTACAAAGGCTGAATATATCATAAGTACTGTATAATATTTTTGTTGATCCATTTGCTTATCCCCAGGTTCAGGAAACTGCATTTTCATTACTAATAAACCTCTTTCTAAGAGTTTCCTTCTGCTTTTGACTCTAAAATATTTTATGCATTTAGTAATTATTTTGAATGAGATTTCTTTCTGTATTATTGCCTCTTGGATTTCATTTTTATTATTTAGGTATATTACATATGTTAATTTTGTGGGTTGTTTGGCAGGCTACATCTTTGCTGAAGCTATTCATAACCTTAATTAGTTTGCTGATTCCCTAGGATTTTCTATATAAACCATCATATCATCAGAAAATTGATATAGTTTTATTTCTCTTCCCTTATCTTTATGCCTCTAATTTCTTTCTCCTTTCTTAGAGCCAGTGTTAGAATTTCTAGGACTATATAAAATAATGTCATGGAGATTCCGTCTACTATTAATGGTTCTTCAATTCTACTTTGGAATTTATTTGTAGGTGGGTTGATTTCCATTCAGGCAACATATCATAAACGTGGACAAGGCCAGTGATTTTCAGGTTCTGGTATGAAGACTAATATAAGATGCCATCTCGTTTTCACTAGAGAATGAAGCAGATGCTATTTATAATGTTTTCTCTATGAGCCATGATGGGAAATGACCTGCTAATTAATGGAAAGGTGGAGTGGGGATTGAGAATATATTAATAATGCTATATCTCCATGTAATTTTATTACTGGAATTATTATAAAACAGAGGACCAAGCAAGGTTAATCATTAGCAACCCTGGCATGGAGAATTTATCATATTCTTGGCTAAGAACAAGGACAAGGTATCCAGTTTCTACTGAACCTCTGATTGAGTGTGTCGGTCTTTCAGCTTAGTTCATTCAGCTGTTAGGAACCAGATACAAACTGTCTTGGAATTGAGGTTCAGAACTAGAGAGCAGGAGGAGCAGCCATGGAAAAAGAATATAGAAGCCTAAATCCAAGAGGAGGCTTTTGGTCTAATTGTTCTCATTGCACAGACGTATGAAGTGATTTTTTTCCCCGATCGATAGTTAAACCAGCTGAAAGATTTTGCTCACAGAATCATATTTAAAGGACCAACCAGAACAGAGAGACAAGGCAAGGCAAGAAGGTAAAGAACTTACCATGGCACCAGTGTATGAAAATTCTTCAGGAACAGGAGAAAGAGGTAACAATTAGAAAGACTAAATAGGAAATTAAAGAATTTATTGACTTTCTAGCCAGGGAATCAGAAGAGGGATGAGGGGTTACATTTTTTCTCTCCAGAAATTTCCTGAGATGTGACATGTTTTCCTTTATATTGCAATAATTGTACGGCTATACAGAATATCATAAGATCACAGAAGTAGAGCCTAAAGAGACTTCAGAGACCATCTAGTACAAATCCCTCATTTTAGAGATTAAACAGGCAAATACCTGATACATAGAGTGGTTAAGTGACTTATTCAAGATCACTCAAGACAAGATTTGAAGGCTGGTCCCAATGCTCTTTCTGTTGAACCAATGTAGTATCAAAGATGATTTTCTAGTAAATTAAACAGGCCCTTTGGTTCTTATCTTTTTTATATCTTATCTTCATGATCAGCCATTTCCATTTCTTTTCTTATGACTTAAAAAGTGTATTCATAGATGGTCTCTGTCCCAGTCCTTTTTCATAGCCTTTGGACTTAAGAAGATTCCACAAAAGAATCAGAAAGACCAGTGTTGCATAAAGTCACAAGTTTCTTATTTATTTCACTGCCTTGAAGCTAGAGGATTTATCAATCACTCAAAGTTATATCAGTCAAAGAGGTTTACATTAAGGCCCAGAAGTCAAGGAAGGGAAATCAGGGCTATCATTTTGCCATTTTCAATCATTAGATAACTCAGGGCTTCCTTATTATATTTATTTTTTTTCTCTAGTCTCCATTTTCAAAGCATCTTCCTCTTGCATTATCATGTGCCTTGCCTCTCCAAATCAATTTAATTAGTTACTTATGGACCTTTTGGTTAATGAATGGATTTAAACAATGAAGATTATGAGTCATCACTAGTCTGTGAAGTTCAAATGGGGCATGTGAAACTTATCCTTTCTGTATGACAGTTTTCATAAACTGTACACACACAGTCATGTTACTTCATGGAAGTATGTGTACCATATCAGTAAATGAATGTTAGTAAATCTGTCATAAAACATCAGGGCTAGAAAGAAGGGCATCATTATACACACACACACACACACACACACACACACACACACAAACATGTATGTGTATGTATATATACATATATGTATGTATGTGTATGATATACATGTGTATGTGTATACACATACACACACACACACGCACCAGATACTGCGCTAGCCACTGGGGATGCAAAGACCAATATATGTATTTGTGTGTGCATGCGTGTCTATGCATACATACACACACACACACACACACACACACACACACTATCCATAAACTCAAATGGATCTGTCATGTCATCAATGTGGATGTCTCCTTCAACAAAACAGTTCTTAACCCATCTATGCCTACCCTACCTATTTGCTATTTCCATAGCAATCTGATTCAAATAATCTAGATATAGTCAGTCTTCCATCATTCAGTGGGGTAAAGGAAAATCTACTTCACATTTTTTTAAAATGGACACATCATAATCATAAAGCACTTGTTTAACCAATCATATTAAGTGACAAACATAATAGCAAACTGTTCTGGTTGAATGAAATATATGTGAGTCATTTTGGGGGGATGGTGTTCTTTTCTGGCAGAATTCAACTTAATAAATATTTATAGAGTTCCTATTATATACCAAGCATTGTGGTATGTAGTGCATTGATTCTTAACCTTCTTTTGTTTCATGTTTCCCTTTGGAAATTTAGTGAAACTTAGAGACTTCTATAATGATATTTTTAGAGGAATAAAATAAAATGCAGAAAGTTACAAGGGAAACCCAAAGTTAATGAAAATAAAGATGTATTTTTGTCTCATCTAAGTTTATAGACCATTCCTGAAATCCAAATGGATCCTTGGTATTGTATAAAGCAGGGTCCATGTCCATAAAGAACTAGGTAACAAGGGAGATATAAGTGAAAAAGCAATTTTTGTTAGCATTCGTTTGCTGTAAAATGAGGTAATCCCCATTTTATAGGGGATATAGCATACTTTTTTTTTTAATGAAATAGCCTGAATTGTCCATTATTTAAAGAATCCAGATGTTCTGACTTTTAAGTTCTGGAAAATTTTTATGAAATGGGTATAATAATGCTTACACTATTTACTTTGGGAAGCAGTTTGACTTAGAGGGTTTCCCTTGAAATCAGGAATCAATCAACAGGCATTTGTTGAACACTTATTAGGTGTCCTGCATTGTGCTGGACTCCCCAGATGCAAATACAGTGATGAAATAACCTCTGTCATGAAGGACCTTATATTCTATTTGGGATAAGCATGTGTACAGGAAAGCTATTACAAAGGTACTTTAAGAAAGGAGAGAGCCCTAGCAAGTGGAATGATCAAGAAAGTCTTCAGGTAGGAAGCACTTGACGTGAGTTGTAAAAGCAATTAAGTGTCTAAGCGACAGAGACATGAGGACAGACTGTATTCTAATAATTGAAGATGACAACATAATGGGAGACTGGAGTTAGAATACTGAGTTTAGGTAAACAGCCAAATGGCTAGTTTGCTGGATTGTAGAGTGTGTGAAGGAGAGTTACATTAAATAAAATTGGAAATTAAGCTTGAGCCAGAATGTGGTATGCTTTTAAATAGTAAACTGAGGAATTTTGATTATATCCTAGAGGCAAGAAGGAGCCAATGAAAGATTTTTGAACAAGAGAGTATTCAAGGATTATTTGAATATGTTGTTGGAAGCTCATTTTGCCATCTACATGGAGGAGCTACTGGAGAGAGGAAGTCCAGTAGAGGAGCTACTATACTTGTTCAGTCGAGAGGCAAAAGATAGCAGGAACTAGCTTGGAGGCTGAGTGATAGTTAGATAAGAGGATGGATGTGATAAGCAATTATTGTAAGCACCAACACATGCCAGACACTGCACCAAGGGCAGAGTAATAAAAGAGAGGCAAAAACTTATCCCTGATCTCAAGAAGCTTATGGTCTAAGGGGGAGACTATGGTCAAGTAACTATGTACAAACAGGATGCATACCAGAGAAGTTGGAGGTAATCTCAGAGGAAAATCATGAATCTTAAGGAGGAATGGCAAAGTCTTCTTGTAGCAGGTAGAAGTCAAGCTGAGACTTGAAGGAAGCCAGGGAAGCTAGGAGGAGGAGACAGGGATGGGGAAAGTTCCAAACATGGGGGATAGCCAGTGAAAGTTGGGAGATGAAATGTCTTGCTCAAGGAACTTCAAGAAGGCCAGCATCATTGAATGACAGAATATGTGGGGAGTGTAAAGTGTAAGAAGAATAGAAAGGTAGGGAGAAAGAAGCCAAGTTATGGATGGTTTTAAAAGTCAAACAGAAGTTTACGTTTTAGTCTCAAGGCAATGGAAACCCACTATAGTCAACTGAATAAGAGATAACATGGTCAAACTTGCACTTTTAAACGATTATTTTGACAGCTGAGTGGAGGAGAGACTGGACTGGGAAGAGAATTGAGGTAGGAATTCCAACTAGTAAACTATTTCAATGGTTCAAGTCAGAAGTGATGAGCACCTGCACTATGGCAGTCTTCTTTTTTTTTTCTTTTTGCTGAGGAGGTGATTCTTGGTTTTTTTAAAAAAATTTTATTAATTTATTCTGATTTGTTAACAATCACTTCCATATGCCTTTGAGTTTAAAATTTTTCTCCCCCTTCCTCCCCACCACCCTCCCCAAGATGGTGCACAATCTGATATAGGCTATATGTTTACATTCCTATTAAACATATTTTCACATTAGTGAAGTTGTAAGTAAAAATCAAAACCAATAGGAGGAACCATCAGAAAGAGGAAACAAAACTCAACAGAAGAGAAAAAAAGAGATAGCGTTTCAACTTTCACATTTATGATTACTATCTGTGTCTTTTTCTCCATCCTTTTTTCCCCATTTATGCTTTTCTTTCTCCTCTCTCCCTTCCTCCCACCATGGCAGTCTTCTAAAAGACACGTCTGAAACATACTGGTTCAAAACATAACTAGTTGTGTAGGGGGTAGCAATAGAATCTTAAAGTAAAGTGAAAGTAGGAGGTTAATATAATGAACAAAAATTGCATTGAGATTTTTGTCATCTTCCTTTTGTTTTGTAGTTCCATTGGCTGTACCTGAACCCATTTTAAGATGGTCCCATCCTACAACATGGCAAGATGTTGAAGAGGGCTGGGGTGGATATAATCATACCACCCCAGCACCAGGTGATGACGTTATGATCTTACCCAGTAAGTAAACGAGCTCTGAGTTTTTATAAGAAAAATGACCTTGTATACATTTAAAATGAGCAATAGGTTTTATTGGCAGATAATATTGATTTGATTTAAAGGTATATTGCAGCATAATATGGAATATTTATTCAGTTGTTTTTCAATTGTGTCAGAATCTTGTGACCTCATTTGGGGTTTCCTTGGCAAAGATACTAGAATGGTTTGCCATTCCTTCTCTAGTTTATTTTACAGAAGAGGAAACTGAGGCAAACATGGTTAAGTGACTTGCCCAGCGTTACCCAACTAGTAAATGTCTAAAGCCAAATTTGAACTCAGAAGGAGTCTTCTTGACTTTAAGCCTGGCACTCTGTCCACTGAGCCAACTAGCTGCCCCCATATAATAATAATAATAATAATAATAATAATAATAATAATAATAATAATAATAATAATAATAATTATCATTTATGTATTGCTTATCATATGCCAGGTACTATGCTAAGCAGTTTACAATTATTATCTCATCTGACTCTCCAATAGCCCTGGAAGATAGCTATTATTATCTCAATTTCACATATGAACAAGGAGGGTTAAGTGACTTGCCCAGGGTCACACAGTTAATAAGTGTCTGAGACCAAATTTGAACTCAGAAAGAGAAGTCTTTCTTTCTCCAAGTTTATCACTCTATCCACTGATCTGCCTAACTGCCCCATAATAATATGGAATAATATTCCTTAATATGGAATGTACCAGCATAATAAAAAGGCATACATTTTGGGAAGAAATAGAAAGATATATTGGGTCTATGCTATTGGGCCAGAAAAACAGAATGGATTAATAAAACCCATTACAATATTGCCTTTGACTGATTGCTATGACTGAAGGGGTCAAGCAGAGCAGAGTAGGCAAAAAGACGAAGCCAAAGCTGACTCGGTCCTTTTGAATGCCTTTACAGACAACCAGAGGGAACTTAATGTTTACACACTTTCTAATATCTCTCAGAGGCACTTCGATTATATGCCATCACAATATTCCCACTTGCAGGCTCTTTAGTCTCATCATGTGGGGACATACCATTAGAGACCCTCATTCCCCATTGCAATAGCAAGTAAATTGCAGTAATAAGTAATTGGAGCCTGGCATGGTGGATAGAATGCTAGATTTAAAGTTAGGAAGACTGGGTCTGAATCTTGTCTCTGAAACCTACTAGCTGTATGACCATGGGCCAATTATTTAATCTCTCTGAGTCTCAGTTGGCTCATCTGTGAGTACTAGTAGTACTTACCTGACAGGATTTTTGAGAGACACAAATAAGGTAATCTCTGCAAAGTGCTTTGCATACTTGATAATGGTTATATAACTGCCAATGTCATCATTAAACCAAGTATGTTTGCCTTAGTCACAGTATAGGATAGGGAAATGGATCCAGAGAACCACAGAATATCAAAGTTGGAAGGGAGAGAGTCATTTAGTTTGACCTGCACCTGAAAATACACTTCCTATTTCAAATGATTCCAGTGGCTCCTTATTCCCTCCAGAATCAAATATAAAATCCTTTGGCTTTTAAAATTGTTCATAACTTTGTTCCCTCTTACCTTTCCAGTTCTTCTTATACCTTCCAGTCTTCTTATACCCACATACTCTATCATCCAATGACACTAGCTTTTTTGCTCTTCCTCTAACGAGCCATTAGATCTCCCAATGCCCCTTACCAATGAAAACAACATGGTGTACACAGAAGGAAGAATACAGGGTATGAAGTTGCAGAGGCTGACTCTAAATCTCTACTCTGTTACTCCCTGCTTGGTTCCCATTAGCCAAATCATTCAACCTCTCTGCATCTGATTTTGCTCATTTCTCAAATGAGCAGGCTGGACTTGAGAGTCTCAAATGTGCCTTTCAGCTCTTAGTCTATATGAGCCAGTGGGTGATCCTGGCCATCTGACCTTCGCTCAAAGACCTCTAGCAATCAGGAGTAAACTACCTCCTGGGGCAACCAGTTCTCCTATTGGACATTATAATTGTTAGAAAGTTTTCCCCCCTCCTGTCAGGTCAAAACCTTTTCTCTGAAATGTCCACCTATGAAAAAAATTGAGGAGTTTGGGGAAAATGTTGTACGTTTCCCTCCTTCTATTATACATACATACATGCAAGTTATAAGTGGTGATAACATAAGTATCTATATGTCTATATGTGTTTATACATATGTGTGTAGATATATAAATATATAGACAACACATAGCAAATATCTGTACATACATTATGTAGTATTTATATGTTTGCTTTGCTCTGTCCATGGCTCTGATATTTACTGTGTGATCATGAAAAAGATATTAAAGTTCTCTGAGATTTCCTTTCCTCCTCTATAAAATGGGGATTAGAATACATTTGTTACTTCCCTCAGAGGCTTTGGGAACCTTTGGAAAATGCTATAGGAATGTAAGTTACTTTTGTGTTAAAGTTAAACATATTGACAATCCTTCTAAATCTTCTGTGGGATAGAATTGGTGACCCTGAAGTTGCATAATATATTGTTACATCCAGATCATTCCAATGGAATGAACATTTTTAAAAACAAAGCAACAATGAAAAAATCCCTCAACCCAAAATCTTTCAGGTATTACTTCTACGTTTGATGAATCTAGCTAGTAGAATGACTTCAGAGCTAAGTTTTGGCTTTTTCATAGCGAGGAGGCTGCTTAACCCAAACTCCCCCTGCTGCAGAAAGCACGAGAAACTTGTACTTGTGGCCAAGCTTCCAGCACCCTTTGGGACTCTTAGCCACAGTGTGGAAAAATCTTAGCCATCTTTGTTGGCACTGCTTCTGACTGAAGTCCCCATGTGGGTTGGATTTCCGGACCCCCTGGAATACTTTATGGCCCTGGGCCTTTTGGTTTTTTGTTCATGGTGTGCTCACAGGACATATAGAAACCCTCCAAGAAACTGTGATATTAACATCAGACACAGTGTGGTTGGATGGAGAGACAGGGGATACATTTCTGGAAGTATGAGTCTCTCTTGAAGTCAGTGTTTTAAGTTCAGGGCCTTCACATCACAGATGTATTACTTTTTCTACTTTCTTGACATAATGAGGGATTATGGTGATAATGAATTAGACAAAACCACCATGATAATGTTTTTCAGATCAATTCATATGAATGTAGTTTCTTTCAAATAATGAGTTAATTGATATAAAATGAGAGGATATTTGAAATGCTTTAAACACTATATAAATTTAAAATATTATCAGTATTAATTATCATTTTTAGACTGGACCTGTGATTTAAAAGGTGTAGGGAACTCTCTCTAACTGATACAAATCAGCCCTTGATCTGATGCTTCTCATAGAAAATTTCCTGGAACACTGAGAGAGAGATGAAGTGAGTTGCTATCATCACACATTTTAGAAGCAAGACTTGAACCCAGGTCTTCTTGGCTCCAAGGTTTGCTCCTATCCCCTATGCCTTGTTGCCTCTATTGTTACTTTTAAAATTATTTTGATAATTATTCTACATTTCTAAAAATGCCGTATTTTATAATGTTGGGTACTCTCTCCACTGGTAAGATCGGCAATAACCATTTTGTGCCTCAGTAGGCAGTCTGAGTGAATTGTTATGTCCATTTCCCCCCACCTCTGAAAAAACAAAGTCATTATTTGGTGATCAAACAGGTCACAAACCTTTCTCAATTTATTTCCTTGGATAGAAGTATTTGTCACTGGGCCCTTATGTTAAATCTTTTTTGGTAATAGTTCTCAGTAAGTTCAGAGAAAAGTGAATGGACTTGGGCAGTTTATAACATAAAATAATAACCCTCCTTCAAGTTTCAATGTTAATTTAGTTCAGAATTTTTTCTTAAGGGATTTTAATCTGCTGTTAAAGTAAGGAACAAAAGAATTGTTTAGAAAAAAGTTGCCACTTTGAGCTTTGGGTAAACAGAGGAAATGCATGTAATACATAAACAGAATGTAAGATGTAACTCTAGTCTAATACAAAGTACATCTAGTTTTTTGTTGATTAGTCTCCCTAGGGTTATTCTTACATGGGTTTGTGAATAGGTGCTATTGTGGGTATCTGACTCCCCAGTACTATCTTTGTTTATTTTGAATAAAGGATATGTGGATATCAGATTCTTTTGTTCATTGTTCTTCAGATAAAAGTCTATTACTGGCCTGCTGGTGGTTTTCCTAATACAATACTACTTCTTAAGGATTCATAGCCCCAAAAGCACAAGTAGAATAGTGAAGCCCCATAGTAGAATGTTGCTCTCTCCAGAACATAAATATTAAGATAACTTTGTCCAGTGACTAGAGTCCCTTCTTCTACTATAGGGGAAGAAAGAGGGTAAATTATTGACAAGCACAGAAGGTATATTCTTTGCATGATGTGGTCTTTCCATATAATGTTTCTGTACAAACAGTCCAGAATAATATGAGGCATCTGGGTAATTTCGGTGAACTCGGGGGGTTTTAGAAACAGTAAACAACAATGAATTATGGAGCCATCCATACTTAAGTGTTCATGGGGAATATCTCGATTTAGGTTGAAGTTGAGTAATTAGCCAAACAACCAAAGGAGTATGTCCAAACACAGGCCTGATGGGACCATTTCTGTAACATTGATGCTCTTGGTGGTGACAGATAATATACGGTATAACACAAAAAAATAAAAAGGAACTTTATTGTGAAAATATTTCTCAAATTAAGGCGATAACAGGGACCCCTTTACTCACCTACATGACCACTCCTTTTATCAGTGCAAATACCAGTTCATCCAAGTCTTCTTAACATGTGCATTCTCCTATAAATTGTCCTAGGATCCTACTCAGTATATCTAAGAGCAGGGGCTAGGGCTTATCTGAACTTTGCATTTCTCTGCCACATCAGGCTTATTAAATGTTAATTTAATAGATGAATGACTAAATGGATGAGTGAAGGTCTATTGTCCTGCTCTTAATTATTTGTTGGATAAATACATTAATGCGTGAGTGAATGAGTGAATAAGTGGAGGAAGTTTGCT